TTCCTACAAATGCGAATTTTGCCGATGCTGTAAACACGATGTTAAAATGTATTTATTTAAATTCTATCAAATTCTGACCTAAAGCCTCGACGCGCGTCGAAAACTTTACACATTATTCGACTGCGCGTGATAAAAAGTGCAAAGGAAGTTAAGTTATTGTTATCTATCGAGCGAACACACACTATTCGGATCAATTTTTTTGGAGAAAAAGGCTTTATGAAATATGTGTTTAATCTATTGTGGAAAAAAAAATATATATAAATGTATTGTGGGAGGAAAAAGACAAATAAACTACCAGTTCATCCCTACAGACCTGTTTCGTGGTTGCCCAATCATCAGGGGATTTAATGAACTTGTAGTTTATTAGTCTTTTTCCTCCCACAATATATACATCGCTCTACACCTATGTACTGAGCACTGTCTTACGTAAGTCAAAATTACTCTTTATACATATAAATACGTATGTGTATATATGTGTATATTCTAATTACGACTCTCTGAACTTTCCCTTAACCCCCTAAGCACTGTTGAAACCAACTGCAGCTTTGATGAATGAATGCGGCTTTCAAGATTGCAAACGGTGGAGGGCGTAATCTTGCCCACATAGTTTCAAATATGTTCATTTTCAGTCGTTTTGTCTTTGGTGTCCTGAAAATTTTGTGTAATGATAAAGCCTGTCACTTTTCTCTTTATTGATCAAGTATGTCCATGAACTAGCACTTGGTAATTGCTGGTTGGAAAACAAACTCTTGAACCTCTATGTTTTGTACTACAACAGCTCGTTTGCACATGAACGGGTCAAAGATAACACTCGTTTAATTATTGTAAATGAAGTTCAAGCTTTAGCAGGGCTGTGCTATGGAAAAGCTTCCCTAAATAAATCAAACAATCCACCTCCTTGAGTGAGTTTGAAATGAAATTGAGAAAACTCATTTTCAAAGTGAGATCCGCGTCTAGCTTTTTAGTACAATATTGATATACACGGTATCCTTGTACAGCAGGTTAGACTTTGGCTTTGACTACATACATATATATATATATATATACACATTAAACCCCTGAAGAGTGAAGCGATTCACGAAACAGGCTTGTCGGGAAATGTAGTTACGTCCCTTTTTTTCCTCTCGTAATATATATATATATATATATATATATATATATATATATATATATATATATATATATATATATATATATTTGGTTTTCCTAGCTAGTGTAGTTAGTTTGATTAAATCCCTTAAAAATAATTGTTTCAACCCGATGGAAATACCGTGTGGACATGAAATTTTACTGCCACTACCATTTCAAAGATAAGCACGATTTTTAGTGTCGGTTAGAAAACTAACGTAAGTTACTAATGAGCGGAACGTTAATGCCAACTTTCATTATGTGCAATACTAAATTACCTTCCGATACTAACATTTCATTTTTTTATAATAACCAACCCTACCTAACTGACTAAGTCAGAGGAACTATAGGAATAGTTAATCATGTCAAATCAGTATGACTGACTTTAGAAGCAAATTATTTGTCCCCTGTGGTAAGGGTGAGCTGATTCATCATCTCATAAGATAGAGTAAGAAAACATGAGATCGAGAGATCCTCGTGAGCTGGTAACGTTGAGATATTTAAAGAACATCGGCAGTGACAGGCAGTCCCTTTTCACATAGAAAGTCATACAGTTCACCCACTGTTCCTAAGCCGTGTTGCATGGCTAAAACATACACTAAGTTTTCGTTCGAGTGGTTCATCTCGCCTGGTTTCAAATCCAGTCCCTTCATTAGATGTCGCATCCTGGAATATTGCCCTAAAATTAAGAAAACAAACATTCATCTTAACTGTGCGTCACGGTCAACTAGACCATCAAGTAATATGAGTGACCTGCTTTATGAACTGCTAGCAGAGATATACTCATGGACCATTGTAATAAAAAAAACATATTTGCAGTATTGTTTCATTTCTAATATGGGTCTATGTGATGCACTCAACATGTGGAGAAGGATTAAAAGTAGAGACTCCATTCCAGACTAACTAGTGATAACAGAAGTTTTTCTGTTGCTCCAGTATTTCTTATTTACACGAGAAGACCAAGCTTTATATTTTTTTTTTGGTGATATGTAGTTTTTTGTGTGTTCTCAAAACGCCTCGCTAGTATTCTTTTCCTGGTGAACAGAAAAAAAGAAGCGATACAAAGATTGAGACTAAAACCATGTTCAAAGGGCTCCATTACATGATAAGGAGTGACTCCACAAGTTTACAGGTTCAATAAAAGTGATGACAAAGGGAATGTGTCTCTCGGCCGGTTTCCGTGAGGTCGCAAATGGAATTTCACAGCCGGAAGCAGCCACATCTTAGTAAATTGGTCACCTTAATCCAGGCTCGTAATCACCGTGAGCGTCAATAGCCTGGAACATGCCACAGGCCACTGAACCAATGTATTTACCTGTAGGGGCTCTTATTGGACACTATTTCACAAAACGTTATTTACCTTTCAAAACTTTTGAAAAAAAGTCTTTGCTATATTCTGGCATGTCCTTGATGAGCATATTCTCAGGTAACCGAGGACCTGGAAGAAAAGAAGGAACATCATGGGAATAAATACTGACTTTCACTCAATGGCTTCACATACAAACGTAAAATCATAAAAAAGGCTCGACCACACGAGTCAAATGATTCGAAACTATGATTTATGAAATTTATGAGACCCCCTTCCATTATCTTTGTTGATTGTTTCATCACGTGTATTGCCTCTCGCTCGCACCTTTTTGCCATGTTGACAAGAACTTTGAACTTTGTTGTTTTTCGAGCTTTTCAGCTGTTATTGAGCGAAACCGAATAAATTAGTTGTAATATGGTGCTGTTGCTTCGTGATCATTAACCTTAGCAACGCGAACCACCCTTTTTTCTTAGGCAGTAAGGCGAGGAGATCAGTAGCCCAGTTTTCGCTTAGTCATTTTTTTCTTGTTAACATATTGTCTCTCACACTCCACAACTGGTTCGAAACAGAGGCTGCTTGTTGTTTAGGCAACAGAAGAATAAATGATGACTATCACGGCCGCGTTTCCCCCGCCGAGTCTATCCTTCGTATAATCAAATTTAAATTCAAATAGTAACAGGGTATTATTTGGCAACCGAACATGACATTAGTAATACCCAAACATGTATTGAAAACTTAAAAGTGTTGATTGTTTTATGCAAATCATTCAATATTTAAATTAGAATGGATTGAAGAGAGTTCGATGTTAAAGGCCTTCTGACTATTTTGTTAACGGGGCACCATGGTTATGATTGCTCAAAAATCAATAGATAAGTATTGAGAAGGATTTAAGAAATGATATTAAACAACAAACCTGTTGTTCCTGGTGGTGTGATCTCTCTTAAATGATAGAAAACGTCCGTTCTTTTTAAATTTTTAGCCTTTCTTGCCAAGACACGGATGTATGTTTTGTCCTTAGGGGTTGGTTTTCTGAAATAATCTTCAGATTTTTCCAATTGTTGTATGATAGCTTGAGGACGGCTTGACGATTTCAAAATAGATTCTAAATGCAACAAAAACGAAAGAAAAAAATAGCATTTACAATAAAAAATGATTGACCAAGGTACTGACATCAAGCTGTCTTAGAGAAATCTGATGGTTGCAAATGAATTGTTCAAATAAGGGTTTGCTGTTTTAGGCGTTTTAATATAAAATCGACAGACTTATTCCAATAAAAGGCCGACTGATTCTAAGAGGCAAAATGCTTTTAGAAGTCAAATGTAAGATAAAGCAAATGAACTGCCAGAGGAGGGATGAATGAAATTTAAAAGGGGCTGTTATGCTATGCCATTAAAGTAAGCTTTCAAGTTTTGAAAAAGTGCAAGTTTCAGCCAGACCAACTATGAAATAAGAATTTGGTTATAATCACGTCCATACGCAGCCAACTCGAGTTCCATAAGAACAAGAGTAATATCCACTCATCTTGACCTTTTAGCTGGAAAATATAACGCATATAGAATTTTAGAGGCCACTGAGTAAGAATAACATGCTAGGAGTTACGAAAATAATAATAAAAAAACAAATTACAAGTTAAGGCCCTTTGACTGTTTGGTCAATGAAAGATTTATTTATTGTATGGCAAAAAGATCTCGCCGACTTTAGTGAGAATCAATAATGAATTGTTTGTGTCCAAGCGCTGGGAAATTATTTGACAAATTGAAAAAAAAGAGCTGGTATAACAGGTTTACACTGTTGATGGGTAAACGTCAAAAACGTTGATTGAAATTAATTAGAAAGCTGCTTGAGCTCCCAATTTTTTCTTGGGCGGGATTAAAGTGGGAAATTCCAAGCGGGCAAAATGGGCCTATCTTGTCCATTCGGCTACCTAATCAGCACTCAGGATTCGCTTCATCTTTCCCACGGCCGATGTCAGCTATGTAACATGTAGAATTATCACATGACCGTAAGGCCCCACGCGCGCAATTCCAAAGAAAACCGTAATGAAAGCCCGTCCGAAAAAAGCCGGCCGTCTCCGCACTAACACGGCTATTTTGTATTTTCCAACAACGAGACCTAAAATTGTGAATTTCAACTTGAAATAAAACAAGTGAGGAAATGAGTCGCGCTTCTCAATGAATTGTGAGTTTCTTGTTCTGACTCCTCGAAGAAAAAAGAAAGGTATTTACGGTAGAATCTTTATGTTTTCTTTTAGTTGTCAGGTTTTAGTTGTCCAGTTAGCGTCCTTCTCTTGTACACAAGTACGTCCTTTTTAGGTTGAAACAAAAGTTTTGAAAATTTCAACACTTAGTGCTCATATGATAAAATGCTTCTTGACTTAGTTTGGTCGAGAATTTATTTGGCTCTCGGTCAGTTCCTCACAATTAATCGATATGTACATAATATTACATAGTTTAACCCATAACTACTCTGTCGTAATGAGGTCCCCTCCCTAAATTAACTAATGGCGACTGTTACAAAGTCAACCATTTAATTTTTATGAGACTGACCTGCATTCAACCACAGTTTCTCCATCTTACTAAAGATTTCTAAAGCGATTCTGATCATTTTGAACATTTCCTCTACACCATGTAATGCACGTCCTAAAAGAAATTGAGGATGCAAATTCGTGAAGCAGTCTTAGTCCACCCTACATTAAAGATCTATTGCCATCAGCTGCTTATTATGCTCTATTCGTCCTCTGTTCGTTCCAAGAGTCAACTTCTTGACACTGTTCCTTTCCTATGGAACTCACTACCATTACAGATTATAACTTGTAAAAGCCTTGCCATTTTTAAGAACTAACTTTAAAACGATTCTTATCAGGAAAGCTTTTACTTCAGTATTTTGAAGTACCAGAAACATATACATGGGTTTTTGATGAGTGAATCTAGTAATATTTAATGTAGAGCGCTTTTGAATATATTTACAGTATTAGCACTAATACTAATATATGTTATTGTTATTACAGACTAAGGCTATTTTAAACACATTACATCACAGGAAGATAATGAATCAATTTCTCGTCTGGTAACTGATCTTAAAAGCCAGTAATCGATTATCACTCACAGCCGAACATGACCATCAGGCGAAATATGACAGAAATAAGACGGGCTAAATTTCCATTACAGAAGAATATCAAACCAGTATTAAACTCTCACCTGCATACCCCTTTATTCGTGTGTTATGTTTTTTTTTCAGACAATTTGTATCGTCTGCGATAGTAACAGCGTTGAAAGTCAATTAACTTATGAACTAATTGAAAGTATGATTAATTCGTTGAAAGTAATTAACTGATCGTACTACCTTCGTATGGGTATGCATCTCTGTATGCTCCCTGAATGCTGTTCCAATTCTCAATGGCTTCTTTGATTAAACCTTCAACCTGGTCGAGCTTTTCAAGTCTGTCTCCTGAGGATTTATGAACAGAATGAGAAAGATGATAAGTTTTGAACTCGGTAAAGAAATCGGGAAAGAAATCTAAGAAATCTAAGTTTCCAACCACTTCATGGCCTAACTCACCGCAGTGTCTCAGTTGTTGATCTGAACCTCGGAATGTAAATCTCTGAGACTCGATTCCTCACGGTGTAGTACACTTGTTTCTTTGTCCCACACTCATGACAAAACGAAAAAAATTCTCTATTATTTTTGTCCTTAAACACATTCGTCAACTCATGGATTTGGCTTAATACAAAAGCATTTATCTTGTCTCGTTGATAAAGACAAGACCCTGGCTATTATGTAATTCCGTAGGAGAGGCATCGCCCAGGTATATGGGAGTTCATTGAGGAACTCAGGGTCTCTAGACCCATGCTGAATTTATGAAAGAATATTGCCAATGTGGAAAATACCCTAATACGTTACTGGCCATGATGAGCTTTC